TTTCTTCTTTTTACTTTTACTTTGGTTAAAAATTTGTTGACGTAGTGCTCCTATCCCTCAGTGGGTTCTGGTAACTCGGCTCCAGCTCTGCCCTCTGGCTCGGTGGGTCAGTCTGAATCCGGTTTGTGTCTGCAGAGCTGCTGGATGCGGTGGAGGAAATTCTGCCGGCGCTCAGGGATCAGGGCATCCAGGTGTTCCTCCTGTCGGATCGCTGCAGCGTTGAAGGCATCACCGCTTTGTCTGACAAGATCGCCGAAGCCTCCGACCGGCCGCTGCCTCCGGAGCTGCGGGCCAACATCCACATCCGCAGCACTGCGCTCTACATCTACACGTCCGGCACCACCGGTACGCCCGCCGCCATATTACATTCTCTGTTTGTAAACACAGGGGATGCTCGCGCAACTTGACAACAGAAAGAATTCGGTTGGCTGTTAAACGCTCGCTGGTTGCTATGGTTACCCGCGAATTTATACAATTTGAACCGATCAGTTGAAGGTGGGCCAGCGCAGATAGAAATATAATCCAAAAGACAGGAGTGCATTTCCGCCACAAAAATGTGAAACTTTGAGATTAATCTCAGATATTTTCTAGAAGAAACAGGGACACATTGAATTTGAAAAGTTGAAAATTTCTTACAAAAAAAAACTCTAAAAATTTGAGATTAAGCTCCAAAATGTTGTAAAAAAAACTCAGAAATTTAAAGTTTCAAAAGTCAAAATTTGTGAACATTTTTGACTTTTAGAAATTTCCATGTTTTTTCCAAAAAATTTTTGCAATTAATCTCAATTTTAAAAAAAAAAAAATTTTCCAAGTAAATTTTCAACATTTCAAACTCAGTAATTTCTTTCTTTTTTTTTCCCGATATTTCTGGGATTGATCTAAAATTTTCCCGAGTTTCTTCAAGCAAATTTTGGACTTCTAGAGCTCAGAAATTTCCCTTTTTTTTTTTTTCTAGAAATTTTTTGAGATTGATCACAAATTTATGAGTAAATAAAAAAAAATTAGAACTCTGATATTTCTCTGTTTTTTCTAGAGAATTCTTTAGATTAATCTAAAAATTTAAAATTTTCTTCAAGCAAATTTTGGACTTTTGGCGGAAACTTACTCTTCCTTGTCAACGCTGTCATACCAGTCCGTGATTAACTGCTGGGCCTCTTTTTCTCCCCTGACTACATCACTTCCTGTTCAGATGGAAACCTTTCGCTCTTTAGCTGCTAAATTCTCCGTTATGTTCACCAGCCGGCCGCTTGCTTCACCTGCTTGTTTCAGTGAGCAGGTATTGCGTCGGTGCGTGAATGAAAGCAGCTGCACCTGGAAACGTGAAAGTAGTGAGCATGGAATAAAACACTGACTTTACAGATAATTAAACCTGAGCAGAGAAATTGAACCCCGGCGTTATTCTGCATCTGTAAGCATCAAGCTGTAGCTTCATGGTCTGAGGGGATGTTTTGATGTTTTCCTCTGGCTGGTAAAGGTTTGCCTAAAGCAGCTGTTATCACCCATGAGAGGATGTGGGCCGCGTCCTTCGTCCAGGCATCGGGTGGAACCACAGCAGACGACATTTTCTACATCAACCTGCCTCTGTACCACAGCGCCGGCTTCCTCATCGGGATGACCGGAGGCATCG